TTTTACAAAAACACAGTGTACAAGTAATAGTGCAAATGGAACTTCAGTCTTCTGTTGAGAAGCATTTTGAGTGTACAACAGCCAAATCTTTCCACTTATGCATCCAGGTTAATACAAAAAGATAAATTCGTCCAAAACATCAGATAACTAATGTTCAGATACCAAAATTAGATAACCAAGACATCTAAAAGATCCTGATATTCATCAGTAATGATCAGATATTCATGTCCTCTGATATCCAAATAACAAAAGACTCTTAATAGATTCTACTAAAAGGTGAAGCTGCTACTGACATTATGAGAATCATGAGAAACTGAAGCATTGATGTTGACATCAGTTTGTACTTGGGCACTTCCACTGGGATGTAGTGCAGCAGTATGCATTCCTGCAAATGGTTGAGGTGCTGCTGTTGAAGTTTTCCTTTTGGGGTTATATACAACAGATGGAGCAGATTTGTTGGAAGGTCGGCCTCTCTGAAATTGCAGATGAAGCATGATTAATATACAGGCATGTAAATAAGCATTAAAAGTGCAGCTATCTCTGAAAAAGGATTAAGGAACAAATACCTTTCTCTTAGTAGCATTGGTTGCTGTTTGCAGATTCAAGTCAGCATTCATTAATGGTAATTGAGTTGATGGACTTCGGTTATTGCCTTGACTAGAAACTACAATAGGCACATTGCCATCAGCATGATCCTGCACAAATCAATGGCAAGCATTAGCTCATCAGACAACAGCAACATAAGAAAAGTCTGTTTCTGAATCTAAAAGAATTGTAACCCATAGAACAGATCCTGCAAGCCCTGTATTTGCAATTCCCCTTCCTGGCTTTCCTCTAGCAAATTGAGTCCCCTGACATGAAAATTAATAACAAATTACAAGCTCGCTTAGCAATTTCAAGTCTCTCAATTAAACCACTAGACTGAACCTTGTTTGTGCTGGTGCTTGTACTCCTTTGTCTCACAGGTGCTCTTTGACATGTTCTAGTATTATGTCCAGTAGCTTTGCAGTTGCCACATCTCATAGTGGTTGACCTTTTTGCTTGAGATTGGCTTGGCTCATCAGGCCCTCTCCTTCTATTAACTCTTGGACGACCTGGAGCTCTTCTCAATGGTGGTGGAAGGACAGTTTTTGGTGTGACATCAATTAATGGAGGCCATCTCTTCTCGTGAGGAATTGGATGTATCATGCCACTATATGTCTTGAGATACATTTCTGTTGAGAAGCAAGGATCACAGTATGTCTCCAACTTCTGTCTTTTGTATACAATTCCAAGTGCAGCATGCTTGCATGGGAGTCCAGACAATTGGAAAGCTCCACAGTCACATGTCTTCTGGTTCAAACTCACTATAAATGTTCTGTCACCATCAGTAACTTCAAACAAATCCTCACTGGCCATCTGCAATGAACATCTCCTAGAATGTATTGCAATTTCCTTGAGCTTTTCTATGATGTTTTTTGGGATAGCAGACGTCCATGTGCAAGCCTTCTGGTACCTTTTGTGTAATTTCTTCATAAATTTTTTCCTCAGTCCTTCAACAAGTGTCAGTATTGGTTGGCACCTTAAGTCTCCAATCCAAGCATTGAAGGATTCCGTGAAATTGTTTGTGACATGGTCACATTTCAAATTTGTTGAGAAATCATGTCTAGCCCAAGCAGAAACTGGAATCTTGGATAAGTACCTCCATGCTTCTATATTCATATCCTTGATTCTCTGCATTGCTTGTGTAAATCCAACTGCTTCATAACTCTTAGCAGCTTGCCAAAAGAAGGTACTCAGTAACACTCCAGGGAATTGAGACTTGAAGTTCATGCAAATATGTCTGCAACAGTATCTTCCAATTGCAGATGGCAGCTGCTGTTCATATGCAATGTTCAACCCCTACATCAAAAGCAAAAAATCAGTCAGCCTTTTTTACCATATCTACACAGCAGGTTGTCCAAATTTGGCAAAGTAAAGTATTTAGTAATACCTTTTGTCTGTCACTCATGACAGTTAAGGGACAGTTGTTATCGAATGGTCCAAAAAATTCTTCAAAGAAATGAAAGAACCAGCTCCAAGTCTCTTTGTTTTCTACCTCAACAATAGCAAAAGCAATGGGAAATATGCTGTTATTACCATCCAATGCAACAGCAGCCAGCAATACTCCACCAAAACTACCTTTCAAATGACATCCATCAAATCCGACAAAGGATCTACAACCACCTAAAAATCCATCTTTCTGACTTTTAAAGCTAATAAAAAGTCTGAGGAACCTTGGTTCAACTAGTAGATTTGGTCTGTCATAATGAATCTTACAAAAACTACCAGGATTATGTTGCCTAAGAAGCACAGCATATTTGGGCAGTTTACTATATGATTCTGAATGTGTGCCTTCAATCTCTTCTCTTGCCTTTTGTTTGGCTCTATACACTTGCTGTTTACTAGGATGCACACCATATTTTAGCATCTCAGCTTCAATGCCCTTTCTTGACAAGTTAGGATAGGTTCTCATCACAGCTATCAGTTTTTTTGGCCATCCAGTCAGAGGTGGCCTCACGATTTTTATTATCCATCACACATGTGTGTTCAGGTGTGTATGTCTTAATCATAAATGTTACTGAATCAGCTATAGGGGACGCATGAATCCTCCATGTACATCCAGCACTATCACAGATTGCAGTACACCTGGTTTTCTCATTCTTCAGCCTTTTGATGGGAAATCCTTTTTGGATCACATAATCCTTCAGTGCTGCTCTAAAGGCATCAACATTAGTGAATAGCTGTCCCTTCTTGAATTCTATGTCCTCTCTTGGATTGTAAGTCCACATCTTGTTTCTTAGCACTTCTTTTAAAGGGTCCATTTCTTGCTCAGATTCAGAATCTGGTACAATTAGATCACCAGTTTCATTATCATCCAAGTTTTGAAAACTTTCATCACTGCTAGAATTCTCAGACAGAACCATTAGCTCATCACCTATATCATCTTCATTGTCATCATCAAATCCTTGCTTCCATGAATCATCAGAGCTCGATTCACCCCTATACCCCTCATCCTGGGAGTCAATAACATGAACATTCTGCTCATCAGCAGCCAAGGCAGAGTGTTTGTTCTGAATTTCTATGTGCTCACTCTCACCATCAATCTTTCTCAACAACATGACAGGTTGTTCAGCTGGGATAATATCCATGTTGAACACCTCTATATTTATGACTAGTTGACCTTCATACACACTGAACATATCATGGACAGCTTCATCATCATTCACATCAATGTAAGCTTCTGTTCCAGGTATTGCACATCTCATATGTACAAGAAGATTAATATTTCCAGGCAGTTCATCTAATGCCTTCTCGGCAACATCATTCAGCAGATTAAAGAAAGAGTATTTTTCAGGATTTATATTGGAAATTCGAACTTTTGTCCCTCCACAATGGAGTACAATGTCATACACATCACCAGTCACCATCCTACAACATCAGATATCACTATTTATGAACTTCAATGTATACAAACATATAATACTATGACAGAGTAACTCCCTAGACCTCATGCAAACCACTTTGTATGATTCATATAAACAGCACCATCACATATGCATGAATACACATTCTAGTTTATAACTATTATAACCAGAAATAATGAAAACATTGTCAGGTGATCATATTAATAACAAAAGCAGAAACGCAGAGCTAATGTAGGAAAATAAGAAGACATGCTCAGTTTCCACATGGTCAGTAACCTTCATCAGCCATAAGCTACGTAGTATCTAACCTTGCTTTGCTTCAGATGCTCTCAGAACACCAACAGTTCACCCTTTGCAGCAATACTTCAGCTCAATTTCCAGAACTCAATTTCTTCAAGAATTCTCCCGTTTCTCCTGGAGCTCTCAAATGCTCTTCTCATGATCAGTATGGCTCAAGAAGGTCTATTCCTCACCAAAATTAACGTTCAGTCAGCTACCATTGTCACATCAACAACCAAATGGGCGCCCATTTTTGGCGCCTTTTCTCTTAGCCCAAATTAGCAATTCATTTTATTATCAAATTCCAGTTAAGTTACTTAATCCTTTCTATTACTCATTTCACTAATTAATTCATGTTATTATCAGAATATATTACTTCAACAGCAGGGATATTTGTGTCAATTCAACGTTTTTCAAGTCATTTTGGGACCCAACAATCTGACAGGGGAGGTATAAGGGATTTTCGAAACTTCAGGGGAGGTCCTTGAGACTGTCAGAAACCTCAGGGGAGGTTTCTGAAATTATCCCTTTTTATTAACGTCACTATGGTACCTTAACCACATAATTATCAGACTTTGATAATTCGTGTCTCTTAAATTGTTCCTGCCAAACTATTTTTTTTTCTTACAAATTCGAGCCAATTGACATATAAATTCTACTTTGGCAGTATAAATTGAGGGTTCGAACATCTTTTTCTAAAATAACGGAAGATTATAATCCTACTTCACGTAAGAGCCTCGCTATTATTCAACAATTGGCGTTTGATTACACAACTTTAGGAGTGAATTGGCAGATTAGAAAGGTTTAGGCACTAAATGATCCGCAGTCAGTATAGGATGTAAGCTGTCAATATTCCATTAATTTGGAGGGTAAGTGACCAAGAATATGTGGGTTTTAAGCACTTTGCTTCGCAAAAAATGCTTTTTGGATAGTTAGTAATACAGCAAAAGTTTTCGGCCATTGGGTTGGATCAAATGCTGAGGTTCATTTTTGCCTATTTCGTCATCAAGTCGAAAGATGCTGGATTCCGTAAGAAAGCAATGATGGTTCAGAAGACAATGGCCGACAAATGTGCAATTGGAATTTTTGTTTGCCCGCTAAGCCACTAACTCCTTAGATGACGCACGCAAAATGTAGAGGATAAGATATTTTCTGCAATCCAATTATACTGTACAAGATTTCTCAACCCAAAAAAAAAAAAAAAATTTCTCACCTCAACCAAATCCGTCACCTCCCACCAACAAGTCCAATCATGAAAGTATCAATCGTAGACTTCTTGAGACATCAATGTGTCACGGACAGCACCATTATTAATTTCCTTTATAAAAGGTAGGAGGAGCAGGCAGCACTAACTGTAAGTAGCTAGCTAGCTATAAGCTATTCCTTCTTGATTTGATGCAAATTTTATATTCTATTGCATCCTTTTACAGTAAGTCTTGTTAGCTTGCTTTTCTTCTCTGTATATATGGTGTATGAATAGAAAACGACTGACAAAGTATATATAGCCCTGATGGCACAACCTGCGATGACAAATTTCTTCCTCCACTGCAGAAGCTTCAATATTGTTACCGAACATTTCCCTGGAATTGGTATCACTACCATTAATACTACTACAAAACACTACAATTTCCCACAACCTCAAGACCCAAAAATGTCAGTGTCCTCTCGCCAGGCCATTTTTGCCTTCATCATCGGGGTGTTGCTTAACTTTCTCCAGGTGAAGTATCAGGGGAAAGATGAATCCCCGTTCGAAACACATCCCACGACCATGTTCGTAGCCATTGCAAGTTTGCTGGTTTACTGCTTGTCATATGATGCCAAGTTAAGAATTTCTGCAGGAAACAATTACATGTACTACAACTACTTTCTTAGGATAATCATGGCGTTGTCTGCTCCCTTGTCATTGGCTTCCATATTATCGGTCCTTTTCCCCAAGTCCCTTTATCCATCACTGTTTACACTATCCATCATGTTTTCAGTCAGTCAATTACCTGCACCATTCCAGATTAGGACAATATGGAGCTGGCTGATGAAAGCAGTCATCAATATCACGTACAAATTCTGTCATCAGCCACACCAGCAGCCGGGAGAAAGAAGAAGAGGAGCTCTAATGGATATAGTCCAACGACTACCTTGGCTCCCTGCAGCAGCAGAACATGCCATTGTGGTGAACCAAATGGACATGCTTCCATTTTAAGGAAGACAAAATGAATGTGATTACTATCAGTTATAGACTAGTCCGAGGTGCAAACGTAAGCTGATCACCCGAGAATAAGTTGCGAACAAAAAAGTAACCAAAAGCAAGACTACAAGCTTTCAGAATGTTTTCATTTCCCACATTTGGTGAGTCAATACTAAGAGCTAGCTAAATCAGTGTGCTTTCTGACGTTCCCAAATAAAGAATGAACCGTATCTGATCTGAAATAAAAGGAGTATGTTTGATTGTTTCCAGTCAATGTCAATCTAGGTTCAAAAGTAAATGATATTTCCTCCCTATTTATGATTTCTTATTGTTATTAATCATTGGAGCATTACTTTTCCAAGTTTCTGCCACTATTTTATGTCTTTTGTCTCATTCTTTCTTTGGCCAAAACGAATAGAAGTTGTTGTGTTGACAAAATAAGGTATTATTGGTCCAACTGGGCTATTGGGACCTCATCAGGAAGTCACAAGGGAAAGAAAGTCTACAAACTCAACAGAAACTGAAATTGGACAGCATAATTTGCTAAACTGTGATTAGCTCTATTTCCTACCTCTCTAACAGCAGCATCTTTCCTGTAACTTCTGAATACCCACAGAGATAGCAAATTAAACCGTGTCAGAGAAACTGGCTTCACAACGCAGGATAGAAACGACCAGATTTATAAGTATATTTCTCTTCCAAGTTGTAAAAGACCATGGAAGAATGCAGTGGGTTCTAAAAACCAAAGCCCTGCAGCCTGAAGCTAAAATAAATAACTGCAAATTTAATTGATTTGGTTGTTGATGATATAAATACGTGCAAACTGAAAAAAAGGTCTATAGGAAGCTTCTATATAGTGATCCTGATCAGAAGAACCTCGAGGCTAAACCCTGAGCCATATTTCCAGCATCCATTTTGAAACTTCCTCGTGGAGCTTCCTTATCCTGCAGATCATCGAGGGTTGGAGTCGAAGGAGAATGCCTAAGAACAAGGTCTCCATATCAGCATCATCCTCCTCTAACCAGCCCTCTTCAGTTAATCTACCTGCAGCGGCAAGTAATGAACTCATCTGATGAAATAGGATAGGATAGCCCTTCAGGGGCTATTAGCTTCCTTTAAGTTCTAGGAGTAGGAAGAGTTGAACTATAACAAACAAGTTTAATTGGATACATATATTTTGTTGGCCGATTTAATTGGCTAAAAATTCTTGTCAAAGACACTACAGTTTTTAGTAAATAGTTGGACTGTTATATTTATTTACCCAAACGTACAGTATCCTCTCATACTTCACCATGTCGACTTCAACCGTATCTTTTGTTGCTAACCATCGGATTGAACTGGAAGAGAATTTGTTTGCTCGGGGATCCTGTCACTTACTCGTACAGTAAGAAAGGGTTTTCTCCGTTGCTTCTTTTGAAATGAAACAATAAAATGACACCTCACCCAGGGGGGATGCTATAGTAATTTGCACATTGGCCAAGATATCCCGTTGTTTTTCTTCGCATCCCCTGACACCATTTATCAAGAGAGAGACAGTTTGAGATTTTAACAATGCCTCGAATATACAAACTTACATTATCGCAACCGTTGAATATTAACAGCCATTCAGAGCAAAACACAGCCCAGAATGAACTAAAGAAATAGAGTTATACATGTATTATATACGATTGAAAAATATGTACAAATTTTGATGAATCTATGAAGAGTAGACGTGGATGTCCACAGTAATGTCTCCCAATTGTTCTGCTCCAGTTAAGCAGCTGCTCTCCCCTGTCAACTCCTCGCCTAAAACTTTCTGTTGAGTGTGACATCGAAGCCACAAGCAAGAAAGTTTTGTCAAAGCTATCGCACCAGCCACTTTAACTCTATAGATGAAATTCACGTCTGCCCAAATCTCATTTCTTACAGCAACAGGGCCTTGAGTTGGATCATATCCAGCAAGATCAGAATTGGTAATTATGACTGCAGAACCATCATCAAATGCTAAAAGATCTCGGCTAGAAAACAACTTGGAGCTTTTCAAAACCAGATCTGTCAGAAGGCTTGAGGCACAGGTCGTCCTGACCTGCAGATAGTGAAATTCCTGAACAGCCTGCAATCAGCAGCAAACAAAGTTAACCAGAGTAATTCAGATTATTAGTCCACAATTTGGATTGTAACCTCATTATAATCTCAACAAACCTGCCACTGGGAGGAGGCCAAGTGTACCCTGGGCCGTATTGACTTCACATAATTATAGGCAACATCAGGCGTCATCTGCTTAAACTTAACCTAAAATGGAAGAAAACAGCATAACGGGGAAGGGCAGTAAGAATTTATGTAAATAAGCAATGACCAGAAAAGTTACATGTTATCAAATTAGGATTTCCTGGTTTTTGCACTCACCAGATAACATATAACTATAGTTGTGCTGCGACCCCGCCCAGCCTTACAATGGACATAAGTGCTTTGTCCACATGATGCATTCTCTTCACGAATTAAAACCAAGAAAACAAATATTAGACGACAATATTTGAGTTGTATAAAGCAGTCATGTCTCATAATAAAGACAGAGTTAGTGTAGAATAGTAATTATTAAATATCAGATTGACAAGTTAGTTCTGTTTTACATGTCCAGTGATTTTTTTTCCACACCTAATTGCTATAGAGGACCAAAGTGTTAGGGAGCATAAAATATGTCGAGCGTGAAATGGATAAAAGGGAGCCAATTAAACAGTATCAGCAACAACACAAAATATAAAATTAAGGAGGTGAATAAAATTGCAAGTAGATGTCTTCCCAGTTGAAATGACACCAACGAGATATGCACCCAAATTATCAGAATACCCAAGCCTGATTCTAGCAGATAACTAGAAGATTTAAGTAACAGGTTCATGCTAAAACAACACAGAGTATGATGAAATAACCAGATGACATCGAACTACATCTAAGTGTGCACATTATAGTGCACGCGCATCTGTATGTGTACACCCAGGTATCAAGTACTCGAAAATGGAGCTATCTACTGGCGAGCCACATACTGCTTGTTCAGCCAAATATTATACACCTGCAATCCCCATTACTTAAACACAACATGAGAGATAAATTGCTATAACATTCAAATGACCTAGTGGAAAAGGATAAATTGTTTAGTAATGTGAAAACATACAATCTCCAAATACAATCTAATTAATCCAATAATGAAACATGCACTTGAAAAGTTTGGGAAGTTTCGTTACACTTGGTTAAATACACATCCTATTACAACAAAAAACTTACCATGAATGAAGTCTACAGCTCGGCAAATGCCATCCAATGATGGTGCAAAAAGGTAATCTCTTGTAGGAAGAACTAAATGATGAATTCCATGAGCCTACAAAATACACAATCATCAAAAAACCAAAACCTCGTGAGGACAAGGATGCATGCATAATGCACCCAAGTAAAAGTACCACCATTCACTTGAGAAAATCAACAGAACCAGTAATGCTCAAGAAAATTTCAAAGCTGAGAAGCATTGACACAGACACAAGAGGGGAAAGAAATAAGTAAAAGATCAAAGACACTTGAATCCTAGTAAAAGTAGTTTTCAAAGAGTTAGGAAAGTAGTGTTAAATAGAACCAACACTACTAAAAAATGTGACTCAATCTATAGCCACCTATTCTTAATTCGATAGCATAAAGTCAAGTGCCTATACGAGGACAACAGAAACAGCATGAAATTAAGTGTAGACAGTAAAATTAATCACTTCCGGAACATGTCAAAAGTCTAAAAACACTGTGAATCCATCAAGAATGGAGCTAGCGAACAAAAGAAAAATGGTTGATGGCTTGGAAGAATGATTCTACCTCACTACCAATTAACTGAAATGAAAACAAAGTCAGGATGCAGACTCTATCTAGGCAGTCTGCAAGAACGTACCTGATACAGAGATGTCGGGACCAGAGTTTCATATGGCTCATTAAGAGTGACAACTGCACCAATGCCAAGATCCTTTAGCTCAATGACATCAGACCTGAATGGAACTGCACCTAACAAGACAAACTAATATAGAAGGACTTCAGTTTGCAAAACAGAAATTATACTTTTCACAACATTCATTAAAAGACATCTCAGTATGGCATCCATTCTTTGTCAAATTAACAGGATGCTAACACCTTTAATTGCTTCGTTTAAAAAAATCATATTCTTTAACTCAGAGCCCATGGTCAGTCTACCAATTCCTCACTCTTAAGATGTCATCACAAGCTGATGATGATAAGATTATTAACAGAACCACATACCCAATAACAGAAATTCTCCATAAGAACAATTTCCTATCTGGCCAGCTTTATGTAAATTTATCCATAACCAGCTTTATCACTCGTAGTTCAAATACATGCGAACTTATCCCTAAGAACAAACTTCCCAAATTTCAAGCATAATACAACGCTTGAATATTCTACTTTTCCTGGTCATTTACACATTATAAACAGCAAAAACATCTCAACCCGAAGAAATGCAAATCGCCACTGCTAAAATACCCATTGGAGACTAACCGATGACAATATTCAAAACAAGCAATCGAAACTATAAAAGTAACAATTACAATACTATAAAAGACTTCTACAAAAATTTGGACATAGTATACCTCATCAATCCAATCCCACCACCGAAATTCGGCCTGAACTTTATTCCTAACAACATTATACAGCAAAGTTGGATAAAATAAAGCCCTTGCCCCTGCTCCCACTAAAACCTTCTTTGTACTCCACAACACAATATCTCCTCCGCCGCCGCCGCCGCCACCACTATCACCAACATTATGCACAGCCTCACCACTAGCAGCTGATTTCGCCGCCTCCTTCTCCTCCTCCTCAGGCCTCTCGGCAATCTCCAAGCCCTCTTCTTCTCCACCCAATTCTTCTATACGCATATCTTACACTACCTTCAAATCAATGATCACTTAAAATCTGCAACCTTACAATGAAACCCTCAATTCAATTCTAACTTTGAAGATCACGTCAACAGATTGCAAGTAGATTACGGCAGTCAGACAGATTGAACTAGACAAGCCTGAAAAATCTCATAATTGCATCAGACAAAGTTGAATTTGGGTGAATTGAAACAAATAGGGATTTGGATTTGGGGTCATTAATTTTAGGGAAGGGGAAAGGCTTTGATCGGACGATGAGGAGGTGAAAAGGTGGGTGAGGAAGAAATCTGGGACGTTGAATTTGGGTGAACAGATAATTAGCATGGAATATAGGGAACCCTCTATTCTAAGCGATTCTTTTGCCTTGTTATGTACGGATTTGTTTGGGCGGG